CGTTCATCTGTCGGTAGAATTCCCCGGTTTATAGGGCGAGGCTAGATGCCTGGTACTGGGACTCGAGACAGGACCCCGAGAATCTTTTCTAGGAAAGAGGCAGAAAGACGCCTCGCTACCACGATTTAGATCGGAAACTACTCCAGCCGACCTCTCGCGAACGCCGTGAATAACCACACCAAGTTGCTTGTGCACCGGAGTCGGCTGATCATAAGTAATTCTCAACAGGGCTGATTCGAATCAAAAACTCTCATCGGGAACCACACACAGCGCCTCGCTCAAACGATTTTCATCGACATCGTGGAAATCACATCATCGACACAAAGAGCGAATTCATCAAGCGTGATCGATGTGGGTTCTGTGCCGCAAGCAACAGGACCACCGAAACACAGTGGACATTCATTTCGAGTGAGCCAACGAACGAACGGGAATTGTTCACTTCTGTGATGACCTTGTCATCCAGCAGGGCAAGCGAGTTAAGTCAGCGAGAGAAAGCTCCGCATGACAAAGGCTTCCCTCGAATGCTGAAGACACGCCCGAGAGCCTCAGCACACGTTTCGGAGTAGTGGGAGAATTTCATCGAAAGGAACCAAGAGGCGTGTCTATAGCCCACAAATAACCCTATTACTCAAAGAATCACTTGTTCCTCGCGCTTAATCCTAATAATTATTATTCTTACTATAACTATCGAAAGGCAGACATCTGAAGGATTTCGATTCCATAAACTCTGCCCGAATTCGACGGCGATTCATTTCGGGTGAGATACCGCCTCGAGAAGCGATGAGACAACCCGTCGAGTTGTCGTCCCATCCTATCTTGGAGCAGCACAGAATTTCGAGCCGATGACGTAGCACATTATAATATCAGTGACAAGTTCCGAGTGGTCACCTAATGGGACCCTTCATTCCGTTTCGCTTCCCCGAAGCGATGTGGATATATTGTGGTGCTTCACCTATTCTGTAAAGCCTTTCCAAGTGTGGCGCCAGCGCGATGGTTATTTCCTCTTCAGACCGCTCCCCAGAATTCCGCGCTCATGTAGGATGCAAGCTAGGGTACCCATCCCAACGAGCTCGTCGATAGTTATGCGCCCGGTTTCGAACACGATCATCGTCTTCACACAGTGAGTTTCACATAATTTTGCGACTTTGCACGCGAGCAGATTGGCGCGGACGCCTTCGCAAGTCCGCTCCTAGACACGAACCCTTGTCGATTGACTCCTAGATCGAACCCCTGCTTTCCACCGCTTCCCCGCCCATGGGGAGTCCGGGTCCGATTTTCCTCACGCTGATCCAGGTTTTCGGTATATTGGCGCCCATAAGGCAAACTTTAGCGGCAGCGTGTGCAGGCATTTCATTACGGGACTATCTTTTGCTCACATCTGTTGCTCTAGTTTCTGCCATTGTTGTGCGCGGGACATGGTCCATCGAGAGAGTTCGCGCCCGTAGCCGAAGTCGGTTATCGAGACACGGTTCAATGGCTTGCTGGTTTCGGCATTAGGGTAACCGGTCCGATACCAGGCCCAATGACCCTTCAATGGACAGGATGACTTTCGCATGCGAACGGAGGCTGACGCTATTCGCTGGCGCCAATCACGCAAGCGACCATCGAAGTCATTCATTCGCCCATCGTTCTCATTGGAAACTATTTGTCAACGATCTGGGGTAACCGTGAACCTCGGGGTCATTGGCACTCTCCATCTCCAGGGAGAGAAATCATCCATCCGAGCTTTCCATCCAAGATCCGAGCTGCGTGCATATGTATATGCGGAAGACATTTCCGCCGTTCTCGCGGGGTCGAACTCGCTGCTCCACGATCGAGGGCGTATTATTCGTCCACGATCTTCAAGGACCGCGGAAATCGCGTCTCCGAAGGAGCGCCACGAAAGTTTCCCTTGATGTACGCGAAACATGAAGGACTCATTCGCGCAAGTCTGACCAAACGTGAATTGAGGAAATGAGCCGGAGATCCTCGCGAACGCTCGACTGCGGACTTCGCCTCTGTAATGTACATATTGACGGGAACTCTACGTGACTTCCTTGTACGCTTAAACCGGAATAGTTTGAGACGTGCCCTCAGCGAGAGAGCACGAGAGCTGGCTGTGTTAATTGTGGGTGAGTTGTCGCTTTGCCGAAATTCCGTTGTTTTGATGGTTACGCTGGCAGCCTCGCGCGCACCGTTCCCCCTGGCCGCCGGTGGGCGGTCTGTCACGCTCACCCCGCTCACACCTGGCGAAGCGCGCCATTACAAACTTCGACGTCAGTTTGATCAAGCGGTTTTGCGCACAGTTGACAGAGTCCGCCTTTCGACGCGAGCCTTGTTGGTCCATTTCCCATATCGTGCCTTCGGAACTTCTGAAGTGATTAGATACCGGTGCCCGGATAATCTCACCGTACATGACCTAGCAGTGAAAACTTCTGAAGTTTCCGCGGGTTCTTCGACACCGCGCGCTCACGGGATATCCTTCCCGTCCCAACCACTTCACTGAGAGTTCGGAGTTTCTTCGAAGTCGGAGATGAAGTTCATCGGATGCCCCCCGAGCACGCTTTCGACGATCCTGCTTTGGACATCGATCGGTGAGGATGATTTAGGCACAGATTTAGCGAGAGATGGAGTGCCGTAAGAGCGCTTCTATGTGGGCGAGCCCCTGCCACTCTCCGAAACATCCGATGAACGATTCGTTGGGTTATCGGGTCGGACGTCAGGAGACACGTCAATACGGGAAACTCTAGGGTAGGGCCTGACTTTTCACTTAATTCGTTTTCCGGAATCCTTGCTGACTGATTTAGGAGTTGTGTCTGAATGTTTATACTTCGCCCGTGGGCATGAACATTATCAGAAAGCTTTTCATTTGTCTGTTCCGCGCTCAAAACGCGTCTGATGCGGAACCGTGTGTCACGATCTGTCGAGCACTTCAATCGGAGCCACGGACATATCCGAATTCAGAGAATGAGCCTCAGTGCTCCACGAAGAGTGAACACACGTTGTCCCTGATGGCGGGGCGATCACGAGATCCGAGACTGTGGACTCCCGGATGGATCTTCGATCATTTGCCTACATTTCGCTCAATCAGAGCTTTGAAGCTCTCGAAATTGGTCTTCGACTGCCATGACGGAGTTTCGGCTCGTCGCCGTGACACGGCAGCAAAAAAAGTCGTTGTTGTGGCATTGGATCCAGGTTCGGGCTTGGGCCGGAAGCTGCAGCGGGTCACAGACGGGAAACGCATTGATGTGAAAGTGGGCTTCCATGCTTGGCGGGCTGAGCTTTCGGTATTCTGGCTTTGGGGGAATCAAGTGACAATATCAAGTCACGTAACGGATCGCGGCAACTCTCAGAGCGGTGTTTCAGTGTTTTGCGGAGCTTAAAATGCAGGCTGGTTTTATCGGAGCGAGCCGATCGATATTTTCAATAGCTCGAAGCAGAGCAGCCCCTAGTCGAAATTCGAGCAATATTTCCTGAACTCGAGGCGATAACCTCTTTGTCGAATTTTCGTCTGAATTCTATCGCTCCCGAAAGAAGCTGTATTCGGAGGGCCTGTTCTCCGAGTTCTTTGACCTCTCAATAGATCGATAAACGCTGTCGTTCGGACTCCCGTTCCGGTCCCGGGTGGGGTGAGCGAGTCACGGGAAAGCGGGGGATCCGTGAGTTACAACATCAATTCGTATCGAAGCTCGCTTTCTGCCGCCCGTACGACTTCAACGAACGGCCAAGATAAATACAGAGTGGTTCTTCGAACTTGGTGGCTCTTCTCACATTACTGTGCGGTAGGCACTGTCGAAATTGCCGGGTGTATTCGCGATTCTCGTCCCGTTTTTTATCTTGAGGGAAAAAACACAAAGAGCTCTTCAGTTGAGAGAATAACGTTCACTCTTTGGTTAAAAAATCTGACAAGGAAATCGGGCAAGCCCGCTTTTAGAAACAACTAGTCGCGATCAGTTGAAGACAGACCCGTTCGACGCTGTCATTCATCAAAGTCTGGGTTACGTTTGGATGCCCCGTGTTTTTGATTGCGCCCGACGTCTTTTCCTATCTATGGACCGATCTCTCGGCGAAAGTCACCGACTGAATTCTTCACGGACTGCATCTCCCTGTTTAAGGGTTTCTACAGAGCTATCGTTCTTGGGAGTATTCTAGCATGTTCCGTTCGCCTTTGGAGACTTGAGATTTTTCGAGCCGGTGGCTCATGCGCGAAAAATCTCAGCATTTGAAAAAGGAGGAGGGATTCCTCTAGCTCAGGGGTTTCAAATCCGTGGCCCGAGGGCCACATGTGGCCCGCGAGGTCTCTTTTCGTACCCCGCTGCTGTTTCCCCACGTGCTCGAAGCCGACCATTTCGAATGAGTGTTTGAAATTGAATGAGATCGGTGGAATGAATCCCTCCGTAAGACCGGACGGACGAGTTTTCCCTCGATTCCCGGAGGGTGGGAGAGTATACTTCCATGGACGATAGGCACATATTCTCCTTTTATACGAGAGTAAGTTTTCAATGTGGCCTGCGGTCACCTGCGGCGCTCGAACGTGGCCCGCCAAAAAATTAAGTCCGACACCCCTGCTCTAGCCTTCAGTGTGTACTTATTTGGCGATGGTACAGAAAGAGAATTAGCATGAGAATCGCGGATTCTCTGAGCTGCACAAGTTTTCAGACTCGAAGTTTTTCCGGAGAGTTTCCAGGAGTGTTCAAAGAATGAGAGTTGCATGACTGATTTCCCACAATGCCTCGACTGCATGCCGTGATTGAAAGAGAGACACTTTTCATGTCGCAGCGTTTGTGATCCGTCTCGGAGGAAAATATGTGTGACTCATTTGTCTCGACGCAGTCGGTGACCAATTCGCTAGTGCTACGGATATATCTGTCGAGATTGAGATATGCCGGAATATGAAGAGCCCTATTCGAGAACGCGACATCAGCGCTCTCCTTGGGGACGACCGCGAGAGAATGATAAAGAAAGTGTATTCTTCAGCCCTTCTGCCCCTGGGAGTGAATTCGGCGTCGAACAGAGATGAGTGTGATCGCAAAATGCAGAACTGCACCGAGATGGTTCGACCCTTCCTACACGATCTCGAATATATGTTCCCGACGAATATCCAGCACGTTGACAACATGTGCAAGTGAGTACTGATCGAGTGGACGAAGAGGGGCGGGACTCCTGATCCATTCTCTTCTATGACTGAAGAACTCTGGATTTTTCAGAATGTGGAGCCGCTTCGTGGACTGTGTCAGGCGCTATGTAGAAGTCTGCGCGACTGGGGATCAGCGCGCCAGGTTCAATGATGCCGTCGGCGATTCAATCGATACCGTTCATGCGATTTGTTCGTCAGAGAAGTACCAAAAAGGTGAGGATGTATCTATATGGGACTCCCCCGATCAGCTCCGTCGGAACCCCTCAGTAGGGGAAATCTGTAACGGTCAGACACGAAGTCTCGAGCCCGCACGTCAATTGTAAGCGAATCGTTCCGACCTTTCAGAATACCTCCAGAGTGCCTCATGTTTCCGGAAGGTTTCTGTCGACAACTGCGGAAGCCACTATAACGATATGGTTGACGAAGTGAGCAACACGGCGGCGAACAACGATAACATATGCTGGTGAGCGCAGTAATTAATCGGAAGTGCTTTGTCGGGCGCTGACTTCGAGCGTGTGATGCGCTCCGATAAGATTCGAGCACCCATCCAGATAAGAGGAGATACTTGTATAAAAATAACGAACGTTAGGCTCAGGCACGCATTCCAACCCACGGTAGCAAAATATCGCATACGATTCGAGTCGAGGCACTTTCCGACGGAAGTGCAACTTTTCCATTCTCCTATTGAAGGGGAGAACTCGGCTCGAGGCATTTTGGCAAAAAAAAACAGAATGCGGCTCCAGCATTCGTCCTTGGGAGGGCTCACGGACGGCCGACCAAACTAAACAGCATGCGGTCTTTTGTCGCCGAACTTCTCTCACCAACGCTCGTCAAACAAAACGCGTACATAAACTAAGTGAGCCAACACAATTCGTAGCGACAGAGTAGGCGGTCTCCCAGGAGGCAGTCGGGTAATGTGGGAGAGCCTAGTCGTCCACTCTCGTCCCGATGAGCTTCGGCGGAAACAAAATTGAATACAAAGCATGCGCCAAGTCCGTCTCGCGTTACGCTCAATCTGACCAGAAGTTATTCCCCTCATTCGGGTGCTCGTCATTCCATCGCGAATTCCCTTTCGCCGCGAATAAGAATATGAGAAAAAAAATTGCAGGTGCCCTGCGTTTTCAGTTCTGACTGGAGAAGGAGACTCGTAGGACTGCGTCAGGGGCTTTTATTTATTCATGTATCGAGAGAATATTTGGTTAGTGATAACTGAAATATGTGTGATTCATTAAAATTTCGTGTTTGTTGATTTTCCTAACGAACGTTAAATCGATGCCGCTGACGATTTGTCTGGCTTGGGCGTCCTTATGTCTACCTCTCTGGGGACATCCGTCTGTTGCGAGCCTTTCACTAGTTGAAATAGTGCATCACACAGTGTATCACTGAGAATGATACAAACAAACCACAATAGGAGAGAGGGCGAAAAATACGCCACTAACCGATGCAGATTACCACCACAAGTATCAGTATCACCGATACGGCTCCTGCCGCCAAACGCGGCTTTGTGCGCG